TACAATAATCAATCTTCGATGCCATCTTATTTGTCCAATTTTCAATGGATCTGAAACCGATCTGCTATTCAACGACTGTTCATGAATAACCGTAAAAATGGACTCAGAGTGAAGTAATTTGACTGAAAATTTCAGCATATTCCTTCTACATTATTTATGTTTACAGGGGCTGAATCGCTTACATTTGAGACCTAGAAATTGACAAAAGTGGGTCGCAGCGCATATAATACTGTAATATGAATGTATATAAATTGATTTACATTCAATGGTTTCCGTTTTTACTCTAATTTCAAATCAGTTATGTTCGGCGAAATAAGCCAACAGTCTCAAGCGAGTGCAAATTTCTAGCGTCTGGTTATTCCAGTCTACATACGCCGTTTGATTTGGTGCAATGTGTCTAGTCTCGTCCCTAGAGTCTCTTGATACAACTTGGGCTGAAGCGCATTATGGTACACGATTCGTGTACCAATGGTAAAATGTTTATTTTGTCTTAAATATTGGATATCAAAAGCCCATCTTTTTCCGGTAAGATCACAACATGAATGTTGATTTAATTTGACAAATAAATCTCAATGTTGAAGATTTTGGATGATATTGAGTTAGAGACTTAGCTACTTTAACTATTATAGCGAGCACTGTCGGTTCTTTATCTAATCGTCCATAATGCCGCTTTAATATCAATATGTGAAATAGTTACACTTTCTGCAGACAAAAACTATTTTGGTTGCCAAAAAATTTTAACACAATCTGATTAAAACACAGATCCTATTTCGTTTCGTTTTTATAGTTCAAAATTTCGTTTTACTTGTCTTTACTACACTAGGATCTGGAATAGTTGTTATCATTGACGTGTTCTAAATGATTTGAACTATTAGCCAAAGAAACGGTCTTTTAAAGCAAGCTTTAGCCGTGTTTTGCACGGAACTGTGGGTAATCCATTAGTAACATCAATGCTGATTGGTTAATCAAAAGCCGCTCGTATGACCTCTGACGCGACCTATCGCTACAACCGGTCAGATCTTCATGTAGTGTAGGCCATCGAAAGTATAAAATAAACGAAACGAAATATAGATCTGTATATTAATCAGATTGCTTTTAACATTAAAGTTATGAAACGTATTTAAGAAATATTATCATAAATTCAAATTTCCGTGGTTACGATCAACCTCTCCCCCATGTATAAACAATTATATACAATAAAATAGAAACAAAAAATTCAAATATCTACGGCAAGCTAAAGAAAGATAGATAATTGCAGTATTATGGATCGGGGATTTATGCTAAAGAACACATAAGTATAATAATATCATGACCTTGACTAATTATTCTCCATTGTTAAAATAATAGCTATAGTGTGAGTTTGTTTAAAACACAAATTAAATTGTTTATGCAATATTGTGAGAATAACAAGAAAAGGGGTCTATAAGTTCAAGGATATATTCTGTGTCTAATATCACGTGATAGGAAAGTTATCATTCCATATTTGGTATGAGTGACCAATCACATGATTAATTACATCATAATTAGCCAATGTATTTATTAATGGCTGTGAATCTGAGAGTATATAATAAATAGAATGTGTGCTCTAGGGAAGACAAAAGGCAGATTCTAAGAGATGAGTGGAATCCGTCATTAAACTCGTTCCAGGGAATGGTAGAGTTGAGATAGTAGAGATGGCTTTATTATTATCTATGCTTGTAACTATGTATCCAGCGTGATATGAAACTGTAGAAACCGTGGTTTTGTTCCTGTCATCTTGTGTGTTAATCATATGATAATTTGGGACTGATAACGTGAGATGTCAGAGTCACATTTAAAGATACGTCTTAACGGCGAAGATAAAAATATACACAATGTGAGTCATAAGAAAACAATTACAAATACAACCAGAGACAATACTAGACGACCAAGAGCTGTTCCAAGATATGTAATAAGAAAAGAGTGCATGGGTCACACGACCGATTTTGAGTGCATGTCCGCTTTCCACGTCTCACAGGCAACAACCCATGGTACTACATAATCACTGTTAATCGGGTATCATTTTATCTTGTGTATTTAGCATTTCTTTCTTTCACATTCAAACCGAGGCCACGTGTACACATTGGAGTGCACGTAAAAAATCCCTTGGCAGTTGGAATTCGATATACGAGTAGGCCGTAGAGCCGCTGCCCGGGCAAAATTTTCCCCGTAGAACACTGTATGGCGTATGCCCGTCTTCATTAGCCCAGTTTAAGAGCAGAACACTAAGACGTTAAACCCCATTTCATTTCTTTCACATTCTTACAATATCCAATTGGTAAAAATCATCTAAAATCACCCAAACCATCTAATTTGTTCCTGGGTCCAGTTTAAAGTTGAGCGTTTATTTTAATAATGAGCGTCCTATTTACAAGCGTTTAATTCCTCGATCATTGTTCAAAAATCATCAACCCAATTGATTATTGATGTAAAATAATAAATTATTAACCATCTTTCTCAGTGATTGGGTTAGAATTATTAACCTGATGTTTTACATGTTTGTACACAAGCCTGATTTAAACACAGATTCTATTTCGTTTTGTTTTTCATACTTCAAAATTTCGTTTTACTTGTCTTTACTAAACTAGGATCTGAAAGAGTTGTTATATAAGCTGCGTTCTTGTTAATGTGAGGGATTAGCCAATGAAAAGGTCTGTTACGGAACTGTGGGTAAACCACTAGAAACATCAACGCTGATTGGTTAATCCAATGTCTGAGGTCATAGTATCAAAAGCCGCTCGCATTACCCCTGACGCGACCTCCCACTACAACTGATCAGACCTTCATGTAGTGTAGGCCATCGAAAGTATAAGTATAACAAAACGAAACGAAATATAGAACTGTATTTGAATCAGATTGGTTAACTACGTGTAGTTAGTATTTCTATCTGTACTTTACAGCAACTTGCCATGGCGTATATTAGTACTTCTAGTTGATACTAGTTTGCACCGACAGATATACTACCTTGTATAAATACCAGCTTGTCATGACAGATAGGCGTGACTATAAGTAAACTATTCGTACAATGACATATACATGATGTACGTGCCATGCCACGCGTATTTAAAACTTGTAAAAGTTTTTGAGAATCCAATTTTTCACATACATATATATTTTACCTGGACGTATTTTTATTTATAATCATATATATATATATATATATATATAATCCAGTGTTGAAATCAGTTTGTGTCGGCATAACTTTTATCTTTTCATCGTTTACCGTGAAACAAAGTAGTGCAGCTTTACGGTTGTGCTAATAAATATATATATATATCTCGCGTGTATATTTTCATCAATTTCTCAACCTACACCACCTTCCGTTTCTCAACTTACATCAACTTCCGTTTCTTACAGTTTCAAACGCTTGATAAGCTTTGCGTATAGTGACGTATATCGATTTAAAGATTTTAAAAAGGTTAGCATGGAACTAAACACGTTCTTTGAAGGTCTGGGTGTCGGATAGCCGTTATCCGTGGAACTTTGAAGGTAGAAATTATGAGAACAAAACGTCCCGAAAGAAACTTAAAATTGACGACCCGTTTCACAGTACATGTATGTACCATACGAGGTTGTTACACGACCTTACGGGGTTGACGAGGTTGTTACACGACAATACGCGGTTGTTACGTTACGCGACCTTACGAGGTTGTTACACGACAATACGAGGTTGTTACGCGACTATACGAGGTTGTTAAACAACCATACGAGGTTGTTACACGACCATACGAGGTTGTTACGAGGTTGTTACACGACCATACGAGGTTGTTACGCGACTATACGAGGTTGTTAAACGACCATACGAGGTTGTTACACGACCATACGAGGTTGTTACACGACCATACCAGGTTGTTACACGACCATACAAGGTTGTTACGAGGTTGTTACACGACCATACCAGGTTGTTACACGACCATACAAGGTTGTTACGAGGTTGTTACACGACCATACGAGATTGTTACGCGACTATACGAGGTTGTTAAACGATCATACGAGGTTGTTACACGACCATACGAGGTTGTTACGAGGTTGTTACACGACCATACGAGGTTGTTACACGACCATACGAGGTCGTTACGCGACCATGCGACCATACGAGTTTATTACGCGACCATACTAGGTTGTTAAACGACCATACGAGGTTGTTACGCGACCATACGAGGTTGTTTCGCGAGCCTACGCGGTTGCTACGCGAAATGAAGTGGGTTTTTTTATAGCTTACTAGGTTGTTATGCGAAATAAAGTTTTTTTTGAGGCTACCAACCATCGAGGATGAATGGGTCCTATATATATCAGACATACAAATAAATGGCGGTGATTAGAAAAGGACCCCGTCTTCAAAATGGGTTAGTTTAGCCAAGTGTTTGATGGGTGTTTAAAGGGGTGGGACCGTTTAAAGGGTTGGGGTTAGGACAGCAGACTAGACGGTCAGAGACTATTTACAAATTACATGATCAATGTTATTGTTGAATCTAACTATGTTATTGATTTTCCTGCATGAAATATCGAAATATATAAACATGCACATGTGTTTTTTTTTTGTTACTGCAATAAATAGAAAATTGTCGCATGTTTGTTGATGCAAATTAAAAAAACAACAACATTTATTTAATAACAGATAATGTATATGGTGTTGTTTTTTTTTTATCGGAATAATGACCCCTAGTGATGTCACAGGGGGTCACTCATTCTCTATAATTAAGATCCTAGTAACAACAAAAAAATATGTAACATCGAAAATTCATTGAATAAGAATGTTTTCAAAGTCGTCCATTTTATTATGCCTTTTTCTAAAAATAATGTATATGTTTATCAACACTGATATTGGCTGTACTATAAATATAAATATATATATATATATATAATATATATATAACATGTATTATGTTACACGAGAGACAAAATAACGTAGAGACAAAACATAATGTATGTTTAATGGCCCAATGGTGTCGTATAAAAAATAAACAAACATACAAACTTACCTAATAGCAAGGTTAATATATCCGACACTGCCAAACTAAACAGATAATAATTAGTTACTGTATGCATGTACGTGTTCCGTGCAATAACAACGCACGTGCTTATATTCCCAATTAAACCGGTTAAAAAAATAATAGTGTAAACAACGGTAAGAATTGCCACGGAGGTATCATCCTTTCGTCTCGCCCCGAGAAACGACACCAAAAACTTCTCCACGTCAACATTTAAAGAATTATTCCGTTTTAAATACAAAACACTTGAATTAAAATCCTGTGAAAAACTGGAATTGATATCGTCAACGTAATCCTCCATGATCATTGTTTTTATTTACGTCATGGGGGTCAGAGGTCACGTAACAGGTGCCCGTTCTAATGCATGTATCGTACTGCTAGTTCCTTGGTAAGTTTCACGGATACTAAAAGTTAACTTTCATTGAAGGTAGTTTAGTGTTTCAGGCGCTCGCTCTGTTACTATCAGTAATACAAATCATAGCTGAAGACAGCGAATCGATATTTAAACGTTCTGTGTACACCCCCGTTCTAGTAATAACAATAATACTATGTTTCACTACCTATATAATAAATAGTGTAATAAAGATTTATATATATATTGATTTAGCACATGGTTCAATAGGCTCTTTAACTTGAGATTATAGAAATAACATATCGACAATATAACTAACGATCTTCTACTTGACTTCCCGCCAATCCACCATATTAACAGTAGAATAATAACAAATAAAATATTGTTTAACGTTCCACTTGTGGGGGGATCACGTGGCTAAGTGGGTAAGGCGCTGGCTCGCTAGCCTGGAGGTCGGGTGTTCGATCCCTGCATTGACTGAGAAAGTTCATCCAGATATTCCAGCGTGGTTTCCCCTTTTCAGTGATGCAGGACAGAGGGCCCGACAAGGACAGCTGTCTAGTCGTTCGGATGGGACGAAAAACCGAGGTCCCGTGTACACATTGGCGTGCACGTAAAAGATCCCTTGGCAGTTGGAATTCGATATAAGAGTAGGCCGTAGCGCCGCTGCCCGGGCAAAATTTCCCTACGCGCAAGCGAATTATTGAAATAAAATTGAACCATATGTTAGTCCCGGAATGACCTAGTTTGTGTCGAGTAGACGTTTTGTCGAGTGGACGTTAAACTCCCACGGCTGAAGATCCCTACGCCCAGCGCTCTCTCTCTCTCTCTCTCTCTCTTAAATACGTTTCAAAACTTTAATGCTAAAATATAGAATAGATTATGAACAGAAGGACTAAAATGACGTTTCCTCCCACTGCTAAAGACCCCTGCGCGCAAGCGAATTATTGAAATAAAATTGAATCATATGTTAGTCCGGAAATGACCTAGTTTGTGTCGAGTGGACGTTAAACCCCATTTCTCTCTCTCTCTCTCTTAACTGAAAATTCTACACGCTTCGAACGACGCAAATTTGAGAACTTCTTTCTATAAGCGGTAAGTTTCCCTATTAAACATGCATTATATAGCTACAGTCTACCCTTATTTCGATTTCCAGTACACGCCAAAGTGTACACCGGGCCTCGTGTTTTTGTCCCATCCGAACGACTAGACACTGCCGTTGCAAGGACCCCTGTCCTCCATCAATTACCAATGGAAACCACGCCGGGATATTGAGGAGTAACCATTCAGTTATTTCTTTATCTCAACAGAAATAGAATGGAGTGTTCTACACCAATGCGCTACAAGGGAGAATTCACCAGAACAGTCGAATTCCAGATGTCAAGGGTTGTATGATTTCTTCAGAGTAGACTTATTAACACGGATAAGTGAATATTTAATGAATTAAGTGAATAGAATACATGTCCTTAAATGACATTTAAAATAGACACCTTCTCGTGTTATCTGCACATGGTATTTCTTCGTTCCGTTGTGAATTTTACAGCAGAATAAAAAAATACGCGGGAAATAAAGGAATCCCGGTCAACAAGTCGCATTATCCCTCTTTTTTTTTTGGCGTTCGCCGTTCGCCGGTGTGGGAGAATCACAGACACCGTATTAGACAAATGATCCTTCGGGCGAACACAGCAGTCGGCGTGTTATAACAGTGAATACTAAGTAACCAGCGAAATGTTTCTGGCAGAAACCAAACAAAATGGGGTTTAACGTCCTACTTTCTGCACCAACTGGGCTAATGACTCTCTTACCACCAAATCTCGGGTTCAACCCCTATATTGATCGAGCAAGTATCAGTAGCACAGGGTTGGGACGGGTGGGGTGCGCTTTCGAAAACTAGCGCTTAGTCGTTCGGATGGGACGAAAACTCGAGGTTAAAATTCGAAGGAGATAAATTGGAAACGTCGCTATCGGGCAACATTTCCCTCATTGCATGCTATATGGTGGAAGCCCGTCTCCATAGTTGGTACAGATATTTCCCTCATTGCATGCTAGCTATATGGTGGAAGCCCGTCTTCATGGTTGGTACACATAATGAGGATTTGAAGCAGCCGTTCATTTCTTTTTATCGATTTATTGATCGCGACTACTCTAAACATATAAACATAGATGACATGCACCAATCGATATAATGGAGAGACAGAGAGAGAGAGAGAGAGAGAGAAAGACAGAGAAACCGCCACTCGACACAAACTAGATCATTTCGGGACTAACATATGGTTCGATTTTCATTTCAATAAATCGCTTACACGTTGGGGGTCTTTAGCAACGGAAAGAACCCCGAGAAAACTCACATGGTTGTCACGTGCAAGCGGGGAATCGAAACCATACCGCTTGACGTAATGACAGACGCGTTGATCCACTGCCCCCTCCCCCCATGAGATTTGATAAAAAAAAATGACAAATTTTTAAACAGTTGTTAATATTTGTAAGTTAACAATAGATGTCAAGTTTGTAATCTAATTATAAACCTTTCAGGAAATTTAAAGTAGCAAAGTCTCTAACTCAATATCATCCCAAATCTTCAACATTGAAAACACATTTATTTGTCAAATTAAATCAAAATTGATGTTGTGATCTTACCGGAAAAAGATGAACTTTTGGTATCCAATATTTAAGACAAAATCTACATTTTACCATTGGTACACGAATCGTGTACCAGAATGCGCTTCAGTCCCAGTTGTATCAAGAGACTCGAGGGACGAGGCTAGACACATTGCACCAAATCAAACGGCCTATGTAAACTGGAATAACCAGACGCTAGAAATTTGCACTCGCTTGAGACTGCTGGCTTATTTCGCCGAACATAACTGATTTGAAATTGGAGTAAAAACGGAAACCATTGAATATACATTCATATAACACAGTATTATATGCGTTGCGACCCACTTTTGTCAATTTCTAGGTCCCAAATGTTAGCGATTTAGCTCCTTTAAATAATAGATATCTGTGAAGAACTTGTCTCGCGTGTGTTTAATGTCATTTATTAAATCGGAGAGCGTGGTTTACTCCATCTTCAATAGAATGCTTGATCTCACTTTAACTAAGTACATCGTATTAAGGCTTTCGTGTAATACCCCGCATATTTCGACACTATCAGACCCCTCGATCGTCGCGAATACTAAGTCTCCGCTTTGAAGCTAAAATGTCTACTTGTGATAATCGAGTTTCACAGTTCAAGATTCGTTCAATGTCAAGGTTTCCGTGAAGGTCGCTATGTCACAACCTCTGTTTGGACGCTACTGTTCACGTGTCTGTAGATAACATAGGTATAAATTCGGGAATTGTGAGTAATCTAGCAACGTCCAGATGTTGTAAAACGTGGGTTTACTCGTGACAGTGGGTGCAGGAAGAAGGGGTTGGCAAGGATAGAGTCTAGTCGATCGGATAGAACGAAAATATGGGATGATAGGTGACGCTTATCGGAACCAGAATTTAACTTCCAATTTTACCCCCTACATCACCTAACCACACCATTGAAACATATGACATATGACAATAACTGCACGAAAAATAACTATTTTGTATTTCAATAAAAAGTAGAGGAAAACGGCGCTGTACGGGCAGAATGTCACTCACAACCCACTTCATGGCGTATATCCGTCTTCACTATAAGACTGGGTGATGCAGAAAACGGTGCTGCCCGGGCAGAATGTCCCTCACAACACACTGCATGGCGTATATCCGTCTTCACTATGAGACTGGGTGATTTGGAAAACGAGGATGTTAAAAAGGGCCAATCCCGATAATATTTTGGAGAATAAAAATGTTTAATTTTGTGTTAAAATCCCTTAAAATCCTCTACCTAAGTCCGAGCAACTAACTCAATATTTGTCATACTTTAAAACCGCCAGTCTTCATCTGGAAATGGCGACCAGTGACCAAACTGTATTATACGGTGTCTGGATAAAACCAGACTTTTGTTTTATAAAAATAATGTGTAGGTGAAATTTACCCTTCGTTATGAAGTACAGCACACGGGTCATTCACTGTATAGACTTCTAAAGAAACGGGAATCGATTATCAGGTCGCCCAACGAAAAAATTGACCAGAAACCTTAAAAAGGTTACATGTTCGGATAAGCATTTTTGACTTTCACGTCCAAACGGCTCAATATTTTGAGCTGAAATTTTGAGACAAAGCTAAATACACCATTTCTCTATATTTGGGTGCATAAATTTCATGCGTACTCGGACTTTTATTTTTGAGACTCTGTTCAAATCGGGATAGTCCCTTTAAATCTGCACTTCTAACACTCTCTTAACGTGTTTCTATCTCAGTGCCTAATTTCATCTACGTAAAAACCTATATGTACTTTGTGAGCCTCAGTCGAAGAATCAACTAAACATTTTGATATGATGTAAAATGTTATTTATTAAACATACATTATGCAAGAGTTAAATCTGCCTATTGCAAGTCTTTCTTTAGGACTGAAAAGTTATTAATTAGACAGTAATTAACCTATCCAGACCATAATCAACTCTCGATGTGACACGCTAGCCGGCGATGTTTACTGGATTTGGATACCATTTGCTGCTCCACTTTTATTCTTGATTTACTCATGAAATGGATAATCGAGACTATGTTTTTTATCGGACCGACTTTAGTAATGATGATCGAGGCTAGGCCCAAAATTCAATCGCTAATATCTCGGTTCAGGGTGGATCAATTTGACTGAAATTTTCAGAAAATTGCCTTTACATTATCTAATTTCTAACTATTATAGTGAGAATGGCCCTTTAATAATACAAAAAATAAATGACTGTAATAAACATACATTTAAACATTAATCAATGTATGCTTTATATATCAGGGCGGTTGGATGGCTGAATGGTTAACGCGTGCGCGTTGTATTATAAAGTCTGTCATTGAGTCAACTGGCGTGGTCTCGATTCCCCGGT